AGATCCAAGTAATTTCCCTTCCATAATAAATAAAACAATGGATGAAAGGATTCAAGTTCTGATTCTAAACACACAGACATATACCAGAGTTCTTAAGCGTAATACCCATATGACCATTTTGAATTCCAGATTATACTATATGTAAGATGATAAAAAAGACCTGAGACACAAAATCATAAGCATTATCTATTTGATGGTGATGCTACACATTTTTGTTTTCATTCACAGATTATGAACAAGGATAACATTGATTGTAGGACTAAAATTGATGGTAAAATTAAGTTACAACAACCCCCAAGCTTTATGCCACAAGGTGAAGTCGGATACATGGATCAAACGATGCCATTATGCTCTATCTTATCTCATATCTGTATCCAAACCAGTAAAATTAACCAAGTAAGCATTCTCAATTCAAGAGATAACCCGCCCTTAGCAAAGAAATAAGTCATTTTGTTGACAAAAATTAACTCAGAGAATGAGCCTAATAGCAGCAATACATAATGCCTCAAGATCAATTTGGACTGAGAAGAAAACAGAACAGTTTGATAACAGTTAGCCAACCTATAAAAATAAGTAGAAATCACAGAAAACAAAAAGCATAAAGGACTTTGAATACAAGACACGTGAATTACAAAATAAATCTAATAGGTGAATATAGAAGAAAAAACCAATGCGGTAAAACCCAAATATTACCTCTCATCCCGCGACTTTTTCCTCAAGAAGAACCCACACTTGAACTTTGAAACTGGAAGCAAGGAGATCTGTTCTTGGGTGAGACCACGGCTTTGAGTTCCAACAGCCTCACCTAATTCAAGTAATTCCTGCAACACATGATAATAGGATATTAATGTTGAAAAAAGGCAAAAGAATCAACTCAAAAATAAGGAGTCTTTACTTCTTTTTTCATTATTGCTATTTACAGAGATGCTCAGATCACTATAATATTGAGATCACACTACCACTTGCAACATATTCAATTCAAAAACAAATGTGCATCCATGAGACAGTTTACTAACATAAATGTTTCTTTAATAACTTTTCTTTTCTTGTGAACTAAGTAACAAACTGGTATTAGATTTAGAAGCAACCTTATGGATTTTATCAATTGTAATTAAAATAAGTAATGTAACACATTCAAGATCGTGAGGGCATATAATGAACCGTAAGAACTTTATATAATGATTTCGCTAATAATAGTTTCCAAGAGTAACTATTGTCTTTAGAGTAAAACATACAAGTACAAGGAAGGAGAGTGAAGTATAAGGCAATGAAAGGCATATAAAAATATCGGAGTTAGCAGAGTAAAATCAAATAAACATGAGATTGGGTATTGAATATAGTTAGAAGATTAACTATAAAGAAATCAAATATAAAGTAGTTGTACTTTGAGAAAGTACTACAAGATTCCTAGAAAGAGGAGTTTAGGACTCTCAATCCAACCTCATAGGTCATGTTGTCGGGATCAATATTGTCTTGCCAAATGACCTGCAGAACATAGAAAAGTGTCTTAGATAATCATTTATTGTGTTTCTCAATGATGAACAGCTAAAGGTAACTTTACAAACTTCTTAGGTGTTCAGCATTAACCATTTCACAAAATACCTGAGAATCATTGGAACTACTATGATGTCTTCGAGGGCCTGCAAGAAAAGAGACAATTATTTAAATTGCGATCAAACATTTTATGTGTTCAGGAAAAAAAATATCAGAAAATCTCAAATAAAGACTCTGCAAGGGAAAGGTTTCAACAAATATCAATGAAGGCAATAACAGAATCTACAATTTTTTATTTTGAGAATAAAAAGAATCCTACAGCCTATTAAAGTGTGACAACTCATTTAACTGATTCTTCTCTCTCTGTCTCCCGGTGAACAAAGCATTGGCAAGGTCAGCAAATCATAAGTATACTGACAACAGCAAGTACACTTCTTTTTCTTTGTCATGAACCATGAAACTGAAATCTAAATACTTTGATGGATTAACAAATGCACCTAACTCCATTAACTGTTCTCAAACATGTTAATGCCCACAGAGGAATCAAGAGACTTCATTACCAAAAGCGCGGCAGGGTTAGGAGAGCAGCAACGCACTTTCAAGGAACTTAAGCATACCCACAAATTGCATCTTCTAACCCAAATTTTAGTAAACCGTAACTAAGTATTTACAACGTGTAGGACATGCCATTTATTGTTTTAATTGTTCTGAGCTAATTAAAGGCCCGATAATACTTAAGAAAGTCATTTTCAGATGAAATTCAAGAACATACATTCAATAGAATTGTCTTGTGCTTCAGTGTTTCCATCTTCTCCCCATTCTGTGCTGACAGCCAGACTATGCTCACTGATCGTTGAAGAGTTTTCTGAAGGCCTCCTATAATCATCCACTAGAGGTTCATGATGATTTATCTCATATCCATGATTGTAGCGATAGTATGAAGTATTCTCAGGCTCTGATAGTCCAAATTTGTAAAAGTTTGAATTTGAAGGGTAAGGACTCTCCTGCACATATAATTGGTATTTCATGTTTTTACTTAGTAATACATAAACTTTCTAGCATCCATCTACTAATATCAAAAGAATTACACACACAAAAAAAAAAAAAAACGGGTAAAATTGTGAAGCACGGACTAATCTTTTCAACAGATCAACATTAAAAAAACAAGAAGGCACCTGAGCATGCGATGCACCGGAAAAAATGAAGTTAACATGTTCGTAGGTGAGGCCTTCAAAATATTCAATAAAGCTTCCTGCTGTATTATAAGGATAGCTGATGTTATTGTAATGAACTTCCATGTGTGGGTTCCAACTCATTTTGAATCTTCTCTGGAGACAAGGCGAACTCACAACTAAGTACAATAATGAATGCAAAAAGAAACGAAGAACACAAATACAAAGATCAATACATATATCTATAAAAACTATTCTTCAATCTTGACAGATTCACTAAGGTACATTCATCAACAAAAGTTGGAGGAATTAACTCTGAAACTATCCGGCTCGAATCATTCAAGTTATAGTAAAATTGCAAACCTGCACATAAAAGTTAGATCACATAAAGTTAGAAACAAAATCAAGAGATCTCTTAAACAAGGATTGAATGTTGAGGATATTCAATTTCTACCGTCAATGTAAATTACGAAACAAAAGAGGAAAAGAGAGAAGAAAACGAAACCGAAACCGTTCTAGCATTGCATCTGAATCTACGATTAATTTCATCATACAAAAATTCAAGAAACTCAATGAAAATTGAAAAACGAGTAATAGAAAGGAATCGCATAAGCTACGATCGATTTAGAGTGTGTATGTGTGTGTAGATTCGAAATGTGAATTGGAATTGGAAGAACTGACCTAGTTAGAAGTTCATCGGTTTTGATGTGAAACGAGTGAAAATGGCGAAATGGATTTGCACTCTGGTTCGTTTTGTAATTTCTCTCTCTCTCTCTCTGCTTTTAGGAACTTTGGTGTGACGCTGGTTTCACCAACACGCCAAGTCTTTTGGATAGAGCATCATCACCTGCATCGCACTTTTCCCCAACTGTTGCGGATTTATCTTTTTTTTCTATTTGTTTTTACCCCAAAATAAATAGAAGGGAAAACTTTGATTGACAAGGTCAATGTTGGAGTTGGAGTTGGAGTTGGAGTTGGAGTTGGTAGCTATTGGGGTATTTGTTTCAACTTATAAAAATTTATTCTTTTCAGAAATAATATAATTTTTATTAATTTATTTAAAAAATATATATAAAATTTTACAGGAATCCATTTTCTCATCTTTTATATTCTCATGAAAATCCAATTTTATTGAGATATAATTTATCAAACGTCAAATAAATATAATTGTTCACTCGTGTGTTAAGGCGGTAAATTCGTAATCTAGATGTAGTTCTTTTCATATTATTCCTGCGTGTATTGAATAATTAATCTCTAATGATATAAATTAGTTTTGCTTTAGTAAAAAAAAATGAGAATAATTTTATGAAAATAAAATAAGTTATAAGAAATTATTTTCTTCTTTAAAATTTGTATACCCATAAATATATTTTTTTTAATTTTATAATAAATATGGGTATCTTCACTTTTTACCTATATAATTTCTAAATTTGAAACGAATACACCCATTATAAATTTATATACAGTAATTATAATTAGTTTTCTCAATAATATTTCTTTTCACGAATTTATAATATTTTTATTATTTGTTAAAAAATAATTCAAATTCACAAGTAGAATATTACACTAGTCTTGACTAGTCTTAAATAGCATTTCATTATTTTATGTTGATAAAATTTGTCTCAGATAAAGTAAAGTATGCCAGAATATTTCTCGAGAGTATATTGTTTCGAGTTGGACAAAATTGTCTTGTATCGTTTAAGAATCAAGACTAGGGATGTTTATATAAACACTCATACATTTTAATTGAACGAGTTGACTTTTAAAAAAAAAACAAAATTTGAAGAGTTTTTACATTTAAAGTGGACAATATCTTGTAACTACAATGATGCAAATTTGAGGTCGATTAGAACATGTGCAATTCATTGTAAGGAGTTTTCATATTTCAATCATAGACGTGATTTTGTTAAGGATGTCTTTATTTATATATTGAATCAGACGAGAGTATATGTGTAAAAAGAGACGTGTGAGTTTCTTGACTGATTTACTGGATGAAAGATCAACACTTAGACTCACAAATGTTTCAATGTACAAGTGGATAGTAGAAAAATATGTATGTGTGAAACTAGTTCATGTTTCTCCACTTATAAAATTGAGGATTTGAAATTTTTTCAATAAAATAGACATTCCTCAAAATTGCTTAAGCAAAGTATCAAAAATAGAAGAAAAAACATGTTGCGTTTAGTTTCATAGTTGAATGACTTACATGGATATCATTATACAAGATTAAAAAAATAGAGTTTATAAAAAAATTTAATTATGCTTTTATTATTTTAACTTATCTTTTTTTTTATAAGGGACTAAGCCCAACAAGCTACAAAGGCAAAATTAAAGTTAATTTGGGTCATTTGGTCTATTAACTGATCCAATAATCATCTCATTGATTGTAATGTTTTTGGCTAGAGTATGAGCTTCAGTATTGAGAAATCGATTCAAATGCTTAAACATAACTTCCTCAAACCTAGTACAATACCATTTCATCTTCTTCATCATTCCTCCCACCATACTTCTAGGAACCATGATATCTTTGTTCTCCATCATGTCTATGACATTCAAACAGTCTAATTGGAACTCGACTTTACAGTAATCCTTATCAACCTTCATGGTTATGCGAAGCACCATGGCTTCAGTTTCCATGGAATAGTTTGTACTCTTCATCTGAGTGGTCGAAGAGTACATGCAATTGTTGTCTCTGTCAGTGAAGATGGCGCTCAAACCCCAAACGACTCTGATCGCCAAGCTCACGTCAGTTTTGCAATTGATCCAATCCTGGTTTTCTTTGTTTTTTCTACCCAGTTGCATGTGTTTCTCTTCAAATTTCTTAGTAGTTACCTCTTTCTGATTGTTATCCTTAGTTTTGTTCTTCAATTTCCCATTGTTGGTATGCTAATTACGTTTGAATTTCTAGTTGTTCTGAGGCGTCGATCTTCTCCATGGCCCCTCAATATGCTCGTTCTTGTTATAGACCTTCATATTTTGGTGATGCTATGAATTATTCAGGTTTCTTTGGATGTTCGGCTTTCTAGTCTCCTTATGATTAAGCTGATGGTTGATCTTCTAGTTGTTGTTGTTGCCACTAGTATCAGGTAACTCTTTTTGATTAGTCTCTATAGTATTCTTTGTCAACTTGTATGTGTCATTCTTCTATTGGTTGTTGGTGTCTTTTCTATGCAGGTTAATTGAAAGATTATCCTTGATTTCGGTGTTATTCTAATTTTTTCCATTGCTCATCCTTTGCTGGTAAAAACTACTTCTTTGATCATCATAGTTCATATGTTTACTCATTTCTAGATTATTATTGATATCCCTGATGTTCATGTTATTTTCTCCATCTCTGTTGTATTTATCCATCTATCTTTTACGTCTCTATTGTTGGAATTGGATCCCGAACCAATGCGGATGTCCTTGAAAGTCTGGAGTTGCTGCTTATTGGAACTGTGAATGATGGTTCCTTTGTTGATTGGCTTCACAATTCTCTTTTGCCCTCACTTTATTGTTGCAGGTGATGCTCTTGATGTTTCTTATGGACTCTTCTTTCTTTTTGTTTCTTATCATATTTTTCACTTGCGTTATTCTTATTCGCTGATTCTTTTAGTGATTCGCATGTTGAGTCTTCTTCTATTTAGGAGTGTTGTTATTTCTCGTGTCCAGATTAAGATGTTGTTCTCTCTCTTTTTATTGTTTAAGTCGTTAGGTCTATTCTCCTTTTTAATGTTTCAGTGTTGATTATTGGTAGGTGTTTTCTTGTAATCTTCTCTTTTGTTGCATCAGGCGTTAAGGAAGTTGTTGCTAATGTTGTTTCCTTAGGTAATGGCCTCAATAGCATGTTGATAAGTGCAAAAGTATAGTTATTTTGTATATACTTTTTGTTGCACTTATCGACTTTTTGTTGTTAATATTGTTGAATAAACCCGACTTTTGTGTAAATACGTTTAGTTTGTGTTTATATGCGCTTTCGTGTATAAAGTGTGTCGTTTGATAGTTTTCCATTCATTTTATAGGTATTGATGTGTATTTGGAGCATGAGCAATAAAGTGTCGAAGACACGGCTTCAAACGCGCGATTTTGAGCAACTCATCAACAGATAAGGCTCAAAATCAAAGAATAAAAAATTATCAATTTGGTTTATATTTTGTCATTGTTATAAAGAGCATTGAATAAGCTTTCTAACACTTCGAACTGGGCGCGAATCGGAGTTACGATTTAAAAGTTATGGCTGAAACAGTGCAGAATGTTGTGCTGGTTTTTCAACTTTCTGTCATCCGTCGCCAGGCGACGCTTTTGGTCGTCGGGTGATGCTAGGCGAGTTGTAGCGTCGAAAAACACTATTTTGATCACCGGGCAACGCTTTTTGGTCGTCGGGCGATGTTGTACAATCAGAAATACGTATTTATGTGTAAAAACACATTTTTTGGGTATGGTTTTGGGTATTTTTGATCCCAACTCCATCACCTTTCATTTTTGGATAGTATTAGCTTAGAAAACAATATTGAAGCTTACATACGGATGATCCAGGATGGATTGCTCATCAATCCGTGCTGACAAATCGGTAGATATGTGATTCATTTCTCTTCCTCTTTGTGTATTCTTTATGTGTTGAGTTTGTACATGTATTTACTCTGAACTTATGTATATTTGTCACCCATGGCGTTATATTAAACTTACTTTATAAATTTGTGTTGATTATTATCTTAGATTTTTGTTACGTGTTAGGTATTGAGTTGTTATAGACATATACTGCTTAGATTCTTATCTAGGATGATTATTTGTTAGCTTCTGAACTCTAGAGATGGATTTAGAGCTGACATCTACTTGGATATCAGAGCTTAATGCCTCTGTGTGGTTGTGTTGTACTGAGAGATCGTCAATGCGATTACATAGTTGTATTTTATGTTGTTGAGGAGGTAGAGAGATCATTTCCTTGGTGATAAGTCGACTTAGGTTGTGAGTGATACGTAGTAACATTGACGAGTATTGTTAGATTAAATGTAATTGGGCGGTAGATTTAATTCTGTGATGAGTAGATTATATACAGGCTTGATAAGTTCTTCCTTAGTTTTTAATTTTGTTTACATTTATTTTCTGTTAATAACATTTTCTTTACAAAACCCATTCAACCCCAAACTCATTAACGAGACATTTGTCGAATGATAATTCAATAACCAATCTTTATGGACACGATAATTTCCCGGAAAAAATATTTCCAAAACTTTTGTTGCTTACCGTTTTATCGCTTCAACAAAATGGCTTTGTTGTCGGGGATTGGTTCTATTGTTTTCCCATTGCGATAATTCTTTTGTTTTTGAGTTTTGTAATTAATGTATATGTTATATAGAAATTGTATGTTAACTTGTATATGATACTTGTGCATATATGTGTTTTTTCTTTGTTTTCACGCATTGTTGTGAATTGTCTCGTTTTCATAACGTTTGTTGTGTGATTGTTAGTACATTTTCTTTAGGTTTGCACGGTGTGATAATACTATGGCATGACGAGAGGAGGTTACTAGCTCGCACAATAAAGGCGTCGAGCTTACGACGTAAAACAAACATGTTTATTTGTATTTGTTTATGTGTGTGGTGATTTGTGTTTTAACAAGTTGAAACAAGGAAATGATCTGAATTTTAAATCTTCGCTTTTCAACTTGTTAATTCATTTTGACTCGGTTTTCATATCGTTATTTGTATTTGTTTTGTTATGTCAATTTGTGTTTTCTGAAAGCTTGTGCGTTTAGCTTGAGGAGTTTTGTTCGTTGTATATATTGTAAATTTTGGACAATGAAATTTTGTAGAAGTATTATTTTTCTAATTCTTTTGATTGTTGTTTGGACTCAAGTTTTGGTCCGGTAACTTGTAGAATATTTAGGTGATTTATCAAGTTTGATCGTTTTGACTTACGAATGCGTGATAATGATTTTGTTAAAGTTTTGTATATGTTCGAGGTATGTGTTTATCGCTTTCTATACTTTAGCATATTCATGATACTTAGACTTTTTACAATTCGTATGTCATTCATTCTTTTATATAATTGTTTATTTGTGAATCATTTTATTTCCTATCCTTTTTGTGAGGTAGCTTTCCATTGTTCTCATATGCTGAAGACCACAATTCTTGTTTTAACTGGATTTTATTATTCTTAATCTTTTGTTTGTGTTGATTGTATGAAAGCTTGAACATGATCAAGACATTTTTTGTTTCATTTTGAACACAACTACCTTGGCCAAATAATTCAATTCATCTTGTGAGTGTGTGATCATTAGTAACCCTTTTGAGCTTTTTATCGATATCTATGTTGTATTTTCTAAATGTTTGTCTATGAGTGTTTAGTTTCCCTTTTTGTATGGATGTTGATTCGTTATTTTCTTGAACCCTCAATATTGTTTTGGTTTGAATTTTTACCTTGCCTTAGAAAGTAGTTAGTATTCACTTTAATGTATGGTTGAATTCAAGTTGGGGAGAAAAATGATTGTGTATTTATTGGTTGATTGCTATGAGGTTGAAAAGAAAAAGAAAAAAAAAGTGAGAAAAGAAATGAAAAAAAAGTGATAGAAAAAGAAAGGAAAAAAATAGAAAAGTTTTGAAAAAGAAAAACAAAAAGAGTATGGAATAATGTTGTGTTGAATAAGTGATGTGTGTTAGTTTGAAATTTGGAATGAAGAAGAAGTTTGATTGAAATTCTATTGTTTGAAATTTTGTGGAAGTAATTACCCCCTTAGGTTTAGGCAAGTTTTTGTTTCAATTAGCTTTAGGACTTATCACTTTTATGATAACTAAGCCACATTACAACCTTGAAAAGCCCTTGAGATTCTTGCTTTTATATTTTTAATGTAAATTTTTGGAGGAATGCATAATTTAGTCTATTGTTTGCAAGATTGTTGGATGAGTGAAAATACTCCATTTTTGTCTGTTTTTCATCTGCCGATGATTGTGTTTTCTAGGTATGATTCATTTGTGAACTAGTATTTTTTTAGAATATTTGGCATAATTTTTATATTTAGCATTTGTTTCGTTTTAATGTTATAGTCGTAGTTTAGTGGTAAGTGTTTACTTTGTGTGTATTATTTTTCATTTGAACCATTGTATTTGTTTTTTGTTTTTAAAACCTATTGATTCGTGATTCTTTGATTTATCATTCTTTTTTCTTTAGGTTATTTGACTTTGTTTGAGTACAAACAATGATTCAAGTTGTGGAGAGTTTGATAAGTGCAAAAGTGTAGTTATTTTGTATATACTTTTTGTTGCACTTATCGACTCTTTGTTGTTAATATTGTTGAATAAAATCGAGTTTTATGTAAATACGTTTAGTTTGTGTTTATATGCGCTTTCGTGTATAAAGTGTATCGTTTGATAGTTTTCCATTCATTTTATAGGTATTGATGCGTATTTGGAGCATGAGCAATAAAGTGTCGAAGACACGGTTTTGAACGCGCGATTTTGAGCAACTCATCAATGGATAAGGCTCAAAATCAAAGAATAAAAAATAACCAATTTGGTTTATATTTTTTCATTGTTAGAAAGATCATTGAATAAGCTTTCCAACACTTCGAACCGGGCGTGAATCGAAGTTTCAGTTCAAAACTTATGACCGAAACAGTGCAGAATATTGTGCTGGTTTTTCAACTTTCTGTCATCCGTCATCGGGTGACGCTTTTGGTTGCCGTGTGACGCTAGGCGAGCTGTAGCATAGGAAAATGCAGTTTTGGTTGCAGGGCGATGCTTTTTGGTCGCCGGGAGATGCTGGACAGTCAGAAATACGTATTTAGGTGTAAAAACACTTTTTTGTATGGTTTTGGGTATTTTTGA